CATCACCTTTGTAGCTTATCTCTTAACACAATAATCAAAACTTATCTTGTGTATTTATATAAATCATGTATTTCAACTCATAATATGAATATGATTTAATCAGCACCCTCATAATATAAAAAAATTGCATACTCTTATACTATCTGATCAGCACCCTCATGTTTCAGATATCAACCACATTTGATGCGATCCAGTTTCAAACACGTCTGATGCAATACAAAATGAGTTTGGGACAAATACACAGTTTTCACTTTTCAGCAACTTAGGGCCCATTTAGCAAGTCTTTTTGAGAAGATCTTCTTGTAGCTCTAACAGTCAATAGACGTATTGAGCTTTTGGCATAAGATTTGGGCAGCCCGAAGACCGTTTGGCAGACGTGCATCGTTTCGGGTCTTTCCACGCAAGATTAAAACGCAGAAGACGCGAGAAGCTTCATTTGGAGCTTCCCGAAATCAGCCCAAAATGGGCTTCCTACGTCTTTTAGGCGCCCTGCCCTGTCTTTTGGCGGCGAGATCTTCTGCGTGCCAAACGGGAATATACCGATTTTTGGTCTTCCCAGCTTGTAAGCAGCCAAATGACCGTGCGGAAAGACGCACCAAACGGGGCCTTAATAAAAATAAGGGTAAAATACAAAAACCTCCCCTGAAGTTTTTGATAATCATAAATACCTCTTATATAGTTTCATTTTAACAAATGCCTCCCTTAAACTTTTGAAAAACTTAACAAAAACCTCCCTTTTGTCACTGTTTAGATTGATGCACCAGTTTTTTTTTCCAAATACCCATTCTACCCTTTTATAAATTATTTTACATACAAAATTACTGAAATAACTCCATTTTAACTCAACAAAAAACATATTTCAGTAATTTTGTATGTAAAATTACTGAAATGATCGTTAAAATAGGTTTTTGTTGAGTTAAAATGGGGTTATTTCTGTAATTTTGTATGTAAATAATATATAAAAGGGTAGAATGGGTATTTGGAAAAAACCGGTGCATCAATCTAATGTTTTCCGTCTGGAACAGTGATGAAAGTGAGGTTTTTATTGAGTTTCTCAAAAGTTCATGGGAAGTATTTGTTAAAATGAAACTATAAGGAAGGTTTTTATGATTGTCAGAAACTTCACGGGAGGCTTTGTATTTTACCCTAAAAATAAAAAAGCAGCAGTAGTTAATGTTAAATATCTACCAAAATAGCGGAAAACAAATGTGATGGAATCCGATTTAAATGGCTTTATTTTCACCTTCCATTTTTGGGTAAAGTGATCACTTTTGGTGGAGCTACCAGAAACAACATGGCATATGCTGACTGTTTATACAGATGGAGAGAGTAGTCCAGTGTTAACTTTGGCTGTTAGGGCCCAACAACATTGGCTGTTGGGACAATTTATGGGTTGGGCACGTTCTGGGCAGTTTACCAATTCACGCCCATGCTTTGGTTTTTAGTTAAAATAAATTAAAATGTAATTACTAATTGGGAACACTTTCCTGTACTTCTCATGGGTAGATGTTTCCATTGGAATATGCTGTGGGGCATGCTCTATGGATTGTCAATGCAATGGGATTCGATTCCTGTACTTGTCATGGGTAGATGTTTCCATTGGAATATGCTGTGGGGCATGCTCTATGGATTGTCAATGCAACGGGATTCGATTCCATGTCAATGCTAGAACAAACCAGCTAACCAACCCTAATTCGTCTAATATGTCTATTAGGGAGGCTATGCAGCTGAGCATTTGAAATGCAAGTTACCCATGGTCTAATATATTAGTTACTCCAACTTCTGGCACTCAAACATGCAAGGTTAAGACTAGGGGTGCAAGTTAAATACTTGATTTGAAGAATTTACATTATGTCAGGTTTTTTGGGCAGAGCTCGTTCAAATCTTAACAATAGAAAATGGTTTCTAATTCCTTGAAATCGCTGGACTTCGGCTTCTATTTTCGGTGTAAGACCTTAAAAACTCTTAAAGTTTGTAAGCTTTTAGAGCCCATAGAACAAATCCCACATGTCAATATTAATGTTGCTACTACCACCACAAATCAAGATACGCTTTGATTAGAACATTTAAGTTTCAATAATTAAGCCAGCTAGCATATATGAGTGGGTTTCAAGAACCAATACGTATCATACCATTAGCACCAATACCTATGTTTGCTTTAAACCTAGCTACTAATAATATATCTTGTTTTAAATACAATATTTATAGTTTATATTTATAATAGCTTAACACAAGCTTTTTTCTTCTTCTTTTTTATTCTTTTATTATTTTTTTTTATTGTAAGTCTGTTGTAAGATAAAAAGCTTAACCCAAACTGATTGGAGATCGTAGACTCTCTCTAGCAAAATGAGATAGGCTTGAGGCTGAGGCTCAGCTCATTGATAGTCCTTCATTCCTTTATATGGGGGTTATATGGGTGGGTTTGGATTTTTGGTCTTTGGGCTGAATTTGGACAAAAAAATTCGGGTTATTTAATTATTTTTAGCTGATTTCAGGCCTAGGCCTTTATGTAACCCAAATCCAATCATGTCCAATTCAACCTTATTTCAATTCAAGCCTAGTCCGATTATATACATGTATATATGATTATATATATATATATATATATATATATATATATATATATGAATACATGTTGATATGCATGGTTTTTTAATAAATCATATATATATATATATACACATATATGTATTATCAATTTTTAGTGTGGGCTGATTTACCAACCCAAATGTATCAAATTTTGTGCAGGCCAGGCTTGGATTGGATGGTTTAGGCTTGAATTTTAGGCCCAATCTTAGGGATGGGCTTGGGTTAAGCTAAAACCGCCCCAGCCCACCCAACTTGCACCCTTACCTTCAGAGTTCGGATGTGGATGTAATAGCCTTCTCAAAATTGAGCCTGGAATATGAGTGGCAATGGGGCAGGAAGTTCCTATCGCTGCAAAAAACCCCATCCTGTCCCCATGGGGATCTCAGTGCCTGTGGGGATCCCCACTCCCTGCCATTTGTTTTTTTTTTCTTTTTATGATTTCATGTTCACTTTATTTTTATTTATATTTCATTCCATTTTTCAAATAAAATAGTTATAATTTATAATCATATTAAAACATATGCAATTATATTCAGTCATATTTCTAAAGATATTAATACAAATTCTTAACATAAATCCATAGGAATGCTCTCTTCATCCCCACTCCATCCGTGCCAATGGAAATGAAAATTTTCCCATCCCGATTCACATAAGAGAAAATCTTCCCACTTTTCTAGGAAACGGAGAAATGAGGAAAATTGCTATCCCTTGTCTGAATCTGCTACGTTTATATCACCTGTTAGAGAAAATCTATGATGTGGAAAAGATATGATATAAAAAGAGTTTTGACCAATCAAAACCCACTCATGAATTTTAATAAATAATACCTGATCGACTACCAATGATTCCAATTGATTGATCAAAAAATTTTCAGATATCATATCATTTCCATATCATAATCGAACCCCACTTGTTATCTGTTACCAATAACAATTTTATATATGCATAAAAAACATTATTGTTTACTCGTAATCGGTTATTTATCAAGTAATATACACAGCGGTGTGAGCAGTAAGATCTCTTAGTGTACAAAATCACCCTTTACCTTGAGCAGTATTACAGCCCTACTACTTTTTTTATTATCCACATTAATTCTAATTTCTATAGCTAAAACTCCAGCGCCACGCTCGGAGGATTTATCCATAAAATTAGAAAATTTCCGGTAAGTCTCCCTATTATCTTTTTTAGGCAAGGGTAAGTCTCCTTATCCAACCAACGTAAAAATTAAAACGTCATATTAATAATTCGTTCCTGTAAAGCCAATCAGTATAGATAGAGCAGATGAAAATGAGAGCCTTCATTGCAGTAACAGCAGAGCTCCGGGATGAGTAGGGGGTAAGGCCATTTCAGGCTTCTTGGTTTTCAAGTGTTAGGCCGGCCGGACGCCGGGAGTACTTAGGACCGGTGATGGGTCAATGCGCTTCGAGGCGATCGATGGACGGTGAAGGGTGGGACGAATCTCCGTTAGACAGACGTGGGTGTTGGGCGATGGCGAAGGAACGGCGAGCCAGATTTTACATTTTGAGGAAATGCGTGCTTATGCTTCTCTGCTGGCGTAATTACGACAAGTATGCCAAGTAATGACGTGTGTTTTGTTCTTACTATCTGGTTGTATATTAGAAGACTGAGTTAGCAAGATCTCGTGTATTTCCAATTTTCCATATGAAAAATGAAATTTACAATCTGTGATTTCTCCTTTTTCTCTGCCTTTCTGAGTTTTTCTTCATTTTTGAGTTGGTGTTTGAACCTTGAACCGAAGTATAAGTGGGAAAATCGACACACACCAGAGATGGTAAGGATTAATTAAGGTGCCGTTTGGCAAGTCTTTTAGGAAGATCTTCTATAAAGATCTAAATCGTTTGGTAAGTATCGTGGTCTGCCATGATCTGTTAAATGAAAAATTTTAGGTGCAGAAATATTATTCTGTGAGTTTTTTGGTTTCTTGTTTTTTTATTGCGAAATACAGAAAGGCCAAAGTTTGATCTTCCAACTTTGAAAATCTCAGAAGACCACACCAAAAGAATTATCAAAACGCCCCGTATCACTTTTTGAATACCTTGATTCAATAATTCATAAAAAAAAACAGAGATTTAAAGATGGATGCCACCCATTAAATCAAGGCAGGATGGACAAAGTGAAGGGTGTATGAATGTATACAGTCTCATGTGATAGTGTCAGCGCTCAACATTTTCACGTGCTTCTCTCAGGTTTCAGCTACTTGGGTTCTTGATAGGGACCGGCCACCGGGTGTGTATGGGCCCTAGGGTCAACGAAGCAGCGTATCAACTGTTAACCACGGCATAAACATTCGTTCTCAACGTCTTACTGTTGTATGGAAAATTTTGATTCAATCAAAATATAATGGGAGATGCAGATGAAAGTAAATCCTTTCTTGTCTCTACTGATTTTTACTTTGGCACTCGAAAGTCTTCAAAATTGGGTAATGGCCTATCAGAAGAAGCTCTCAGGCGTTCTATTACCGTCCCTCCTCAAATTGTCTTCACGAAAAATAACATATTATCATCAAATTCCAAGAGACGATTTCTCGCTTGCGCATTTCGCCTAACAGCTGATGCGCTTTAGCGAGCTCAGTGTCTTTGACGCATCCACCGATCATGGAGTTCCACGTAAAAGTGTTACGGTGCTGCATTTCGTAAAAAGTTCCCCTCGTTTCGTTGAGTCGAGCAGTTCGAATTCAATGGGAGATTGTCTACATCCATGGACGGAAATCTTGAATTTTCGGATTCCGAAGAAGTGACGAGATCTTATTAATTTTTACACGTCCATTCGTGTGAACGCATATAAAGAACGTTGAGAGCTGAGACATCTTATTTTCATGGTTGATTCACCACCGTGCCGACCCACCAGGGATGAACGAGTCACGACTGTCCACTGGAGTTTAGTGGACTCGGAGGAGTTAGGATTAGAGTACGTCCTATCATATCTCCTGTTTCTACGATTACTTTTACTTCTTCGTTGCTCATTCTACTGTCTACACGTACAAAACGTCATTGTAGCCCACGGCAACGCGCGAGTAGGAACGGTGGGTCCACCCAGAACTCGGTCATAATCTCGAGAGTCGAAACTCGAAACTCGAAACTCGAAAGAGAAATGAATAGTGAAAATGTCGCTTAGGTCGGTTGTTTTAAAATAGGGAGGGAAATACCGGAGAAGGAGGGAGACTTGAGAGTAGAAAGGGAGAATTGTGCTGGAATGTGGAGGGGCCATGGCGAACCTCTCCAGCCTCATTCACGAGCTACGCGAGCGCATCGCTGCTTCTTCCTCATCACCTCCAAACAACAATGGCGAGGATGATCCCTTGGAGAGCAGGTTCCGTGCAGTACTTCCAAATCTCCTCCAAGCCTACGTCATCCCTTCTTCCTCAGGTCTCTCTCTCTCTCTCTCTCTCTCTCTCTCTCTCTCTCCCTGAATTTCTAAGAGAAAAAGAAGAAAGTTCACTTCTGGTGTTTTGTTGCAGCCAAGGAGAGAGAGGTTATTGCAGTCCTGAAGCTCCTCTCTCAAACCGCGAAGAATTTCCCTGGAGTCTTTTTCTATGGCAAAGCCACTGCTGTCCTCCCAGTCGTTGGTCGTATCTTGCCCTTCTTTGCTGAACCTGCATTTCGGTAACCCATTTCTGGACATATTACCTTGTTTATCGGAAAATTTGACCGCATTTTCTTTTGTTGAGTTTGTGTTGGATGTATTGTGATAAAGAAATAGTATCATTCCGATAGATTCGAACTCTTTTTAAGTCCAAATTTAAATAATACAAATGATATCGGTGTTAATTGCGAGCACGCTTAATCCTATGGTCCGATGCAATTCCTTGAACATTCCATTCTAATATCATCTTTTACCCTGGAAAACTTTGGTTACTTTAGCTATTGCATGCTGAACGTTATTTGCAAGTTTAGGAGTTTTGTATAGCGAGATTTGACAATGTTAATGTATTTTATACAAATTAGACAACAGCCTAAAACTTACCTCAATGGGTCAATGTGTAGAGAATGAAGACCACTATTATGAATTTTGTTTATCACAAAGTAAATGTTAATTGACCTGATAAACTGCTTACCTAATTATTATGTAAGGTGTTTCGCCTTTTGATTTTCCATTCAGTTTAGTTGCTAATACTTTATGCAGAGGCTACTGGAATGATTAATTCCAACACTCTTTATTTTATTTGCTTTAGCAAGGACTGGCTGAAGATAAATGTTACTAATGAATCCATCAATAAACATAGCCTTCTCCTACCCATTTAGGGTCAGGTACAAAAATCCTGTTCCACACTTTGGCTCCATTCAGTGCAATATCTTATGTTAAAATGGCAGTTTGAATTGCATTTTAGAATCGAGATTCTGTCTAGAATCAGATTCTAGTAATGTGTCTGTTTTGAATTCTACATGTATATTCTATATCCAATTCTAACTTGGCATTATCCAGAATCCACCTGCAAGTCTGTAGTGCATTTCTGGGATTGTTTGGAAGTAGATTTTGGCAAATGATAAGAATCTAAAGAGTCCATGTCATATGGGATTTCTAATCAATCCAACCAGATTTTAGGATGTTATTAATATGCATAGTTGTCAAGACGTTGTCTTGGTGATTAGGCTTTCTTTTGGACTGCTTTGTGCCTTGCCTTGGTGTTTCCATATGGGAGGCGCAATATTTTAGGTACAGTGCAGCTAAACCATATCACGATACAACTAAGGTAGAAGGGTGTAAAAGGGCATTATAAAAGACATTTTCTTTTTCAATTTAGAGATACAAAATGGGCTTTGCCTTTTCTATTGTTCCTTTTTCTTTGTAAAATCCTTTGTAGTTACTTCTTGTCCTTTTCCTTGTGACTAGATTAGGGGCTCTGCCCCTTCATTTTCCCCCTTTTCTCTGCAATTGATGCATCCACATATTCTCTCCTTTATGTTGTTGCATTCAAAATGACAAGGTTCTGTCTCTTCATGTGTTTGTTTTCTTTAATTCTTTGATCTGACACATGCATATTCTCTCTGTATTATTCTCCTGTCTTACAGAACACAGAGCCATTCCCTAGTTCTTCGTAGGCTGTACTGTTGTTTTACACTTTTAGTTCTACTTTTAAATTTTCTCTTTACTATAAAAGATGTTTTGTCATTGCTACACAAACTAGGGAAACAAGCTAATTCATAAGAGAATAGGGAATCATCCAAACTTTATATATAAAAAAACGCCCAGTCACCTAAATCCTTTTTGGGTCTAGCCCTTGTCTTTGTCCACTACTGATTTTTTTTTTCTTGTGAGTCTCTTTTTGGATTTTTCTCACTATTAGGAGAGGGAAAAAGTTTTTCTCCTGGTACATGCAATCATGTATTTTCCTGTTATAAAATCATAACTTATAACTATGTTCTGCTTTATTATTCACCTTTTTATATTGCTACAATGTACAATAGAGAATATTTGTCTTTCTTAATCATCCTTTGAGGAATCATACAATTTGTTCTTCCAGCTCCCGCCATGGAGTGATTTTCGAGACAGTTGGTTCTCTTTTATCCTTACTCCGTACTGGAGAACGAGAAGCATATCGCCAGTTTTTCTTAGATGGGATGTCAGTGGTTGAAGGTATGACACCTTTGCAGTTATTCATCTAAAAAGACAGTAATCTTGTGTATTCTAATTCATTTCATAGTTGGTACACAGGCTCATGAAGGGCACAGTGTTGGAACTACCACATCATGAATTTCATGTGCTGATACTGTTCTATGAACCTAGATGGTTCTATCTTTCTGTGGCGTTTTTCTTGCAACCATGTTAATTGGGTTGGTTGCAGGCACCTGGTGCAGATATGTGTCAAGGAGTCAGATTTGTTTGTTCTCAAGTCTTGGAACATAAAGCTCTGCTATGTTAAGATTGGTCCACCAATGAATTCAAAAAACAAATGTGGTAAATGAATTTGTAACATGATAGTTCCAAACTATTGATAAAAAAAAACATGATAGTTCCAAACTAAACTATAATAAAGCATTTAGAGTATACCATCACATGACACTAACGGAGCCCTCCTGGTTGGGAATTGCATAGATCTAAATTTCAGTTTCTAATTCTGATATTCTTTTAACAATATGAATTAATAGTTAATACCAGATGGCAGTTGGCAGATGCATGCCAAATTAAGGTTTTACCTGCAGAATCTGTCAATTGTCAAACTTCACATTGGAAAAAAGGGTACAGATTTGGTGGTTTGAATACATATCCCATATCCACACTCACCTGTGTGCTTTGTTGTCCAGTATAGGTACTTGGGTAAAATGGAGTCAAAAGAGTGGGATTGGCTCAGAAGTTGTGCAATATGAATCTCATTAGGATTCATAACCATCCAAACTCCTAAATGGATGGTCATGATTGATGTGGCTTTTGGGTAGATGAACAACAGTTTGGGGGTCTAGAATATTTATTTTCTAGACCATCTGTATATAAAGGGCAGAAAAATATTTTTTGTCCAACCTTTAGCCTTGTTTCTCTTATTCATTTATTGCTATTTTTCTATTCCTTAAATGCTGGATAGTCATTAGTTAAGATTTTATGAAAAAAATTGTGTCCTTTACTCCTTGCTTGTGTGCAGATCTTTTATATGTAGCATCAGTGTGTGTTGACAAATCGAGTATCGCTGCTTCCACTAGAGTGTCTTTGAGGTGTTTCTGTGAGTCCCTTGCTAGAATTGCTAAAAATCCAGCTCTTTTTGGTGATCTTCCAACCTGTTGCAGACCTACAGATGGCCCTGGAATCTTAATTGATGTCACAGATAAACCAAGGTGGAAGCTTTTTGCCACATGGGCCATTAAGATTCTTAGCAAATGCCTGACTGATGGAACTCTATATGTGGAAGGACTCATCAATTCATCATTTGTTTCTGCTGCATGTGCCCTTTTATGTTATGGAGATGCTGATTTACATATGGTGGGTAGCATCTTAATTACAATTTAGGTGCTGGTTCTCTTTGTTATTTAATGGCTAATTTGTCATTTCACTTTTTTTTTTTCATATTTCTCTAATTTTATATCCTGTGTATCCTGTGGTAGGCTTGTTTTGATTTTGCCCGAATTGCAACAGCAGTGATGGATGTTGAGTTTGTTCCCTGTGAGAAATTTATTCGGTCAATCTCCACTATATTAGGTGAAAATGAGAAGGAGCTTTCAGAATTCAGGTATAGAATTAAAATGTAATCACTAATGTTTATAATCTCTCAAATTTGGATGTCATGCTGCTTAAAATCTAACTGGAACAAGTAAAGAATTAGAACCTTTGTCCCTTTCACTATCTCTGTCTGCCTGAGTTAGAGAGAGAGAACCCATTTTCTTTTGCAATCTGAAGCAACTTGCTTTTAGATCTTTGTGTCAAAGGTTGGTAAAAGAATTAACATCTGTATTTTCGTCAAGTCAGTAAAATTAGTATAGCTATTACGACGGGTAATTTATACTTAAAATTTAACAGTATTGTATATATTATCAATCAAAAATAATATTGTATATTTTGAAAACAAAATGGTTGGGATCTGCCATTCATTGCAACCAATTAGGAGATCTTGTAGTTCAAGTGAAAGTTGTGTTGTTGTACCATGTCCATGATTGCAATTTGTAGATCTTCACATTATTTTTGCTTTCACAAGATCTGGGAAATGGTCCAGGTAGACACATATGGTACATACTTTTTTTTGCTTATTTTCTTCTAGGAACTTATAATGGGCTTTAGTTGCAGAAGCACAGTTTATGATTCCTCCATGGGAGCATGCCTTCATGAACTATACTCTATTTGTTCGGATGATGTTGTTGAATGTACAGCTGGAGATATAATCAATATTTTTCCTCAATCATTGCAAAGCACTGAAAGTCCAGAACTTAAGGTTAAATTGATATCTCAATTGTGTTATTTTAGATAAACATTGTCTTTGTTTCTGTTCCATTCATTGGTAAATATATCTGTTGAAAGGAGTTAATTGATTGCTTTGACTTTCAGGTAGCCATGTGCAGTGCATACATTCGGATTGCTAAAACTTGCCCCATTCATGTATGGAGGCCAGAATCTCTTCTCAACATGCTTTGCTACTCAAATCCTTGTTTGCCATTGATAGATTGCATTTGTATAGTGGTAGATCTACTTGGGCCTGATCTTCTTGGAGAGGGAGCAACCAGTGATTGCAATATATCAGTTTCAAGTGGCAAAGCAAATAAAAGCTTGAAAACTGGAGAGAAGAGGCCTGGTCAGAACTTGGCCTCTATGAAGATTAAGCGCCAAAAAGTGGATAATGATATATTGGTTTCCAATCCTAATGCCCAAATGGGGTCGGCGCTTACTTGTAGATATACATGTGAAAGAGACAGAGATTATGCAGATTATATGCGGAGATTACTTTTTCTGTTTGTTGGCCTTCTAAAACCTCTTGAGGATAAAGCTGATTTGTTGAGACCAGAGGTTACCTTAAGGGCCCTTAGCATACTTTGCATTGTGTTTTGTAACTATCCGCAAACCAATTTGTCACTATGCATTTTTCAGCAGATGCACTTGTGGATGCCTTGGATATGTGAGCAGGTACACTGTGATTCCTAGAATAGATTCACTGGCTTGACTTTCACTTTTTTGCTAATGGAGAAATGCATTTTGTAGGCAAAGGAAAAAAGTTCGATCACATTTGACTTATCCATATATTTGGAAGCAGTTCACAGCATACTACTTTTGCAAAGTAAGAGAATAATCTAACCTTCATTTCATTCTGAGACATGATTTTATTAAAATTGAATTCACTAATGCCTCTGCTTGTTATATCATATTTTTTAAAGTCCTGTAAATCATATTTCACGGAAAAGGATTCAGACATAAGGTTCAGATTGAAACCCTTTGGATTTATGATTTGAATTGTTAATTGTATGGTGAAGTGTAACATTATGATATAGATGTATATGCACACACTCAACTAAGCCTTAATGCCAGTATGTCACCTATTTTGGGTTGGCTGCATGAATACTGTCCTGCCATTCTGCTCTACAAGAGCCATGTACCTTGCTCATTTATCCCATACTTTTTTCTGAGAAAGAAGGTAAAGTATTGTATTACTCGTAAAAACCACAGAAGTCAAATCTGCACAGAAAGGAGCTGTGCAGTGCCCAAGTTAATTCTGTTGATCTTCTATTTTGTGTATTCTGTGTGCATAGATACAAAAAAGAGAGCCAAAGTAGAAAAAAAGAGCTAAATGGCCTATTCCTGAAAAGTTTGTGTGTTCCTACCCAAGAATAGGGGTGTCAATTGGACTGGATTTGGTCCAATCTAATCCAATCCAATACTAGTCTATTACAGATGGATCAGTTTTAATCCAATCCGATGAATAGTCTGGACCATTTTGGACCAGTCCAATTCAATGTCTAGACCATCCAATCTGTTCAAATTGGTTCCAATCCAGACCTGGTCCATTGACACCTGTATTCTTATCTTCTATCAATGGACCAGATATTGATTCAACCCAACCCAATCGGCCAATCCAATATAAATCCATTACAGATGGACCAGGTCCAATCCAATCCAATAAATACTTTGGACCTTAAAGTCTGGACTGGTCTAATTAAATGTCTTATTGGTCTTTTCAATCTGTTCAAATTGATTTTGATTTGGATGGGGTCCAACCTAAAACTGATCCATTGACACACCTACCCAAGAATACAGCCTACCCAAAAAAAATTTCAGCAAATTTTCTTCTGTAATATATTTATTTTCAAACAATCTCTTAGTTTTTCCACCCAAATTGTCCAAACCACTGTAGCATGTCCTATCCCCCAAACAACCTTGTCTTCTTTTGATAGACCATTCAGCCTCCAACCCCATAACAATGCCATCAAATTTTCTAGAAAGCAAAACTGTACCTCAAACAGCCCCAGAAACTTTGCCCATAGACTCCTTGCAACTCTACAGTGAATAAACAATGATCTGAATCTTCTGAAGCTTCTTCATACATACATACCTACTGGGCAACCTTCTCAGACCTCTCCTTGTCAGAACATTCGCTGTTAAGCATTTTCCCAACACTGCAATCCATAACAGAAAAGCAACTTTTGGAGGTGCTACAGTGTTGCACATTTCAGCTTCTGGAAAGCCCTCCATCTCCACTTCAGCGAGTCTGTTGTAAATCTTCCTGCTTTGTCTCATTTCCAAATTTGTTTGTCCCTACTCAGATTATCAGTACAATGGCACCGATTTGCTGCATCAGCTCCAACCACTGCCCGACCTCCCAATCATTTAGGTTCCTACTAAATACAGGGCACCGAACTGCTACATCTCCTTCCCAAGAAACAGCCTCAGCTACCAAAAATTCCTTATTTTGTGCGATCTCAAAAAGGATGGGGAAACTCTCTTTATGCAGCTGATCTCCACTCCAAGTATCACACCAAAATTTTATCCTTGTACCATCTCCCACCACATACTTAATCCATTTATCCCATACCTGGTTGCTGATGCAGCATGTCATCATTTGGAGAGAAAGTCCTAGCATTTTCAAACATGAATCACGATTTGTATTCATATTGAATATGCTAAAGTTTTTTATTCTGGCTGGCATCCTGACACAAGCCTCTTTGATCCTGCTTGGGACTGTCGGTGTAAGACAAGCTAAAACTGGCAGAGTTATACATACATAATCTTTTAGATTAAATCTGCAACAATATTCCTTTAATTTTATTTTCTTGAAAAAAGCCTTATTTTCCATATTCCAATTTTGCAGTTTTCCTTTATAATTGTTCTGGGTTTTCCAGGTAGAATAAAAAAGAAAACACAACAACATCATCATAATCACTATTATCACCATAGCAATAGACAATGTTGTTGATCTTGATGACAAGATTTAAGACTGACCAAGTGTTGCAACCCTTTGAAATTGCCCTCTAATTAAACTTAGATCTTATACTCTTGAAACCTGTTATTTAAACTTACTTTTTATACGCTATGTTTTATGATTTATATTAAGAGCATTCTTTTTATTTAGGTTCCCTTCCTATGGAGAACAGAATTTTCAGAAATAAAGGTGATGATGCAGATCATATAATTTCAGTGCTAAAGCTTCCATGGACACATTCTCTTGCCATTCCTCAAGCTCATCCTCTTTGGAAGGCAAAATGTATCTCTATTCAAATTTTCTCCAAGATTGGCATTAGATTAAATACTGAAAATGACCTTGAGATTTTTGATTTGGCTCTTCATGATGGAGCTGAGGAAGTTAGAGTTGAAGCTGTTTTGTCTATTCCAATGATTGTCTTATGGTCTGGTTTTGACCTGCTAGTACATATTTTTGAAAAGCTAGAGTAAGTAAAATGGATTTCCACATGTTTATCCTTTATTTTGTAAGAGAAGCTACAATATTTAAGAGCAAAATATGTGAACATTTGGATGCTGATTATTTAAATACTTTATTCACAAATTACTAATATATAAACCTTATCTATGAGAAGTAATTTACAGTTAGTAATTCATTTTGTACATTCTATTTTCAAATGTTATATAAGAGCCAGTTGCTTCCCCACAGCTCCAGATAATGCTTCAGACTTAGTTGGATCATTCTGTCCAATATTATGTTGGTTTGTTGTCTTGTAAAATTTTCTTTTTAGTCTAATTTGGTTATTCCAGTCATATACCATACTAGGTACACCACTCTATTTAACCCCCCTAAACTAATTTTATGGGCAGTATCCTCTATAATGGAATTATGTTGGATTGGGTCGGGTAGAACAATTATCCAGTCCATGACAGAAGCTAAGGGTAGGGGTGTTGATGGATCAGGTTTGGGTTGGACACAATCTGAATTAAAACCAATTTGAACAGGTTTAATGGTCCAATAAGATATTGAATTGGACCAGTCCAATCCAAAATATTTATTGGATTGGATTGGACCACTATCCGGTTCATTGACAGTCTCATGTATATGAGTCATTTAAAATTTAATACAATACTTTACCATTTCTCAAAAAAAAAAAAAACAGAGATGTACTAGGGTTTCTATACTATGCTCAATATGAGAGGAAAGGAAAGGTTATATGAAAAAATCAAGAGTAAAGGAATGATATAATCTTTAGAGACAAAGCTCAGACCAAATAATTACTGATAGAAAGTGTTTCTGTGAAGGTAGCCCATTAGATGATGACATTGGAAGCCTTTGAGCCTTTCTCCACTGATGACATCATCCGGAATTGGCACATTATGACATTAGTTGTTGACTAGGGTGGTCACATTAAACTACCGGCTCTACCAAAACTAACTATTGAACTTTATTTCCTTGCCTTGTTCAATCGTCAGATGTCTATTTTGCTTTATTTGGATTTTAGTTAAACTATGTTATGATGGACGCATTTTCACATTATAATCTCAGACTCTAGGTGATATCTAGTGTGACATATAAGGGCATCTGGGTCCTGTCACCAGATGGTCTTCTAACTCATTCTTGTTCCTCCTTAAAGAGCAAACTCATTATTGTTCAATTTTGCAGGATCCTAGTGAAAGAAAAGCATGACCAAGTGAACAGAATTGTCCCATTTTCTATTGGGTTTTTGGCTTGTCTCTTTGGATCTTCTGATGCTATTGATGATCAAAATGGAGGAATGTGTAAATTGTTCTTAAGTGATGACAATGTGAGACATTATAAGACAGTTAATCACCTATTGCAAGGATTCTGGTGTCCAATGTGTGATAAAAGAATTGTACAGGATCATAAACAATGTCCTAAAGTCATTAAGTTGTCCAACATTCAAAGCTTGGAAAATGGTCTGGACTGTGATTTTGGTAACTTGCAGTCTCTATTTTTTGAACTTCTTCTAAATGAGTCATCAGAAGAGGTTCAAGTTGCATGTGTGGGAGTCATCCAAAGGATACTGATGCATGGGACCAAAGATATCCTGCTTAAAACAAGGTCTCAATGGATTCAATGCATTGAATTTCTACTCCTCAACAGGAAGAAGGCTGTAAGAGAAGCATTTTGCTCACAGATTAGTTGGTTCATTGAAGGCCCCATTTTGAATTGTTTGTTTGAGGATGGAGAGGCATCAAATAAAACAAAAGAACAGAAATTTCTGGACCAAATAAAGCATGCTTTGGCAGTGGCAGAAGATCCCCAGATCTTTGAAACTCTTTTGGAATCAACAGCTGAGATTATGAATGCAGTTGATATCCATGCACAACTTTTCTTTTTCTCACTTATTCTTTTGGTTGATCAACTTGATAATCCACATATTACAGTGCGGATAATTGCATCAAGGTTAATACATCGATCTTGCTATTTCCATCTAAAAGGAGGATTTGAGCTTCTTCTTTCTAGGGTTTTCCATATTCGCAATGAACTGTTTGATTATCTATGCATGAGGCTGGTGAACCGTCCTGCAATGGTAAGAGAGTTTGCAGAAGCTGTTCTTAGTGTTAAAATTGAGGAACTGGCCAAGAAAATGGTTCCTGTTGTTCTTCCAAAGCTTGTTGTCACTCAGCAGGATAATGATCAAGCACTTGTCGTACTGCATGAGCTGGCCATGCATTTGGACATGGATTTGGTGCCATTGGTAGTCAATTGGTTACCTAAAGTACTTGCCTTCGCTCTTCTTCAAGCTGATGGGCGAGAATTATCCTCTGCTTTACAGTTTTACCAAGCACAAACTGGCTCTAACAACCAAGAAATATTTGCAGCAGCATTACCAGCTCTTCTAGATGAACTTGTCTGCTTTCTGGGTGATGGTGATTCAGATGAGACCAACAGAAGGTAGGAGTACTCTGTATCAGTTTTCTTGTACTAGGTAATCTTAGACAGAACTTGGCAAACTTATATTCTGATCAGTTCTAAACCTATGCGGTGTCAGATCTGCCAAATCTATGCCCATTTTGAGTCCTATGTTCATTGAATTCGGTACATATCCGCTTAATTGGAATGTACCCAAAAATAAGTTATGCACTATTTGATTTTTAAATAAATATGCAATTCTCAATCAGTATTTTTTTCCAACTTAATGCAGTGGTTTTTTCTTTTCTTTTTTTGGTAGATATACAGTTTGATTTTCCTTTTAATTTGAATTTTCAAATATCATATTGGAAGTTTATTTATTTCATCTGAAATATAATAAATAACTTGTTAGCATGTTTGGCAATTAATATTGGTTATCCAATATACCATGTATTCATATATTCATATCAATTGGTGGATAATATATTGGTATAATGTCCTGGAAATCTAACCATTTTCATTAAATTTCTATTTGTAGGTTAGTGAGAGTTCCTCAGATGATACAACAAGTTGCAAGAGTCCTGACAGGTTCTGATGATCTTCCAGGTTTTTTGAGGAATCATTTTGTTGGTCTTCTTAACAGCATTGATAGAAAAATGCTTCATACAGAAGACCTATTTCTCCAGAAACAAGCCTTGAAACGCATAGAAATGCTGATTGAAATGATGGGTTCTCAACTTAGCACTTATGTGCCTAAAATTATGGTTCTTCTCATGCATGCCGTTCAGAAAGAAGCACTTCAAAGCAAGGGTCTCTCTGTCTTGCATTATTTCATCAAACAGTTGGCAAAGGTATCCCCATCCAGCACTAAGCATGTTGTCTCTCAAGTCTTCGCTGCTCTCATCCCCTTCCTGGAACGAAATAAAGACAACCCTTCTTTGCATTTGAATAAAGTTGTTGAAATCTTGGAAGAACTCGTGGTTGAGAACAGGGTTCTCCTAAAGCAGCATATCCGTGAGCTTCCTATGTTACCAAGCGTCCCTGTTCTAACTGAAGTAAATAAAGTGATACAAGAAGCAAGGGGATCAATGACTTTGAAGGATCAATTGCAGGATATGGTTGATGGTTTGAATCATGAGAGCTTGAATGTAAGGTACATGGTGGCCTGTGAGTTGTGTAAGCTGTTGAAATTAAGATGGCCGGATGTTGCAGCAGTGATTGCTGCAGAAACTAGCTCTGATCTGGATGTCTTAAGCTCTTTGGTTTCAACCTTGCTTAGAGGATGTGCAGAAGAATCAAGAACTGCAGTGGGACAGAGGTTGAAATTGGTGTGTGCAGATTGCCTTGGAGCACTTGGTGCAGTGGATCCTGCCAAGGTGAAGGGGATTTCGTGCCAGCGCTTCAAAATTGAATGCTCAGATGATGATCTTATCTTTGAATTAATCCACAAGCATCTGGCTAGGGCTTTTAGAGCCGCATCTGATACCATTGTCCAAGACTCGGCTGCATTGGCCATACAGGAATTGCTGAAGATTGCAGGTTGTGAGGCATCAATGGATGAGAATGTTTCAGCTTCTACCTCACAGGCACCAAAGGGAAAGGAAAATCTGATAATTGCCTCGTCTGGGAGTAGGAAAATAGATAATTGCAGTGAGATGAACAAGAGGGGCCAAAGATTATGGGGCCGTTTCTCTAATTATATTAAGGAGATAATTGCCCCGTGTCTTACCTCAAGATTCCAACTTCCCAAGGTTGCTGACTCCACATCTGTAGGCCCCATATACCGACCTTCTATGTCATTCAGAAGATGGATATTCTTTTGGATCAGGAAGTTGACTGTGCATGCAACAGGATCTCGTGTAAGTATTTTTAATGCATGTCGGGGTATTGTACGCCATGATATGCAAACAGCAATGTATTTGTTACCTTATTTAGTCCTTAACGCTGTTTGCCATGGCACTGAGGAAGCACGCCATGGCATAACAGAGGAGATACTATCTGTCCTCAATGCTGCAGCTTCAGAGAATAGCGAAGCTGCAGTCCATGGAATCACTGGTGGACAGAATGAAGTTTGCATGCAGGCTGTGTTCACTCTTCTTGATAATCTTGGACAATGGATGGATGATGTTAAACAAGAAATGACTCTTTCCCATTCTCTTCCTTATTCAGTTTCTAAACCACCCTCCAAGGCAAAAGTTCAAATTGCAGATCCTTCAATGGTTCCAGATCAACTCCTGGTGCAATGTAATAATGTGTTGGAGCTGTTGGCTGCTATTCCAAAGATTACCCTTTCCAGGGCTTCCTTTAGGTGTCAGGCTTATGCTAGATCTTTGCTATACTTTGAATCTCACGTTCAGGTGAAGTCAGGGTCCTTCAATCCAGCAGCTGAGAGGAGTGGGGTATTTGAAGATGATGATGTTTCATTTCTAATGGAGATATATAGTAACTTGGATGAGCCTGATGGCCTGTCTGGCTTGGCACATCTAAGGAAATCAGCCAACTTACACGATCAGCTCCTAATCAACAAGAAAGCAGGCAACTGGGCAGAAGTGTTAACTTCCTGTGAACAGGCTTTACAGATGGAACCTACTTCAATTCAGAGGCATTCAGATGTGCTCAATTGTTTACTAAACATGTGCCACCTTCAAGCTATGGTTACTCATGTAGATGGATTAATTTCTAGGATTCCTCAGTACAAGAAGACTTGGTGTATGCAAGGTGTCCAGGCAGCTTGGAGACTTGGTAGGTGGAACCTAATGGATGAATACCTTTCTGGAGCAGAGGAAGAAGGTCTACTTTGTAGCAGTGCTGAGAGTAATGCTTCCTTTGATATGGATGTGGCCAAGGTTCTCCAGGCAATGATGAAGAGAGACCAGTTCTGTGTTGCTGAGAAAATTGCCCAGTCTAAACAAGCTCTGCTTGCACATCTAGCTGCTGCTGGCATGGACTCCTATGAGAGGGCTTATCCTTTTGTTGTAAGACTTCACATGCTACATGAACTGGAAGACTTCCATAATCTCCTTGTTGATGATTCTTTCTTAGAGAGATCATTCCATCTTGACGACCCAGGATTCTCAAGAATAATAAAAGAATGGGATAATCGGCTTAGACTTACACAACCTTCGCTTTGGACAAGGGAGACACTATTGGCCTTCAGGAGGTTGGTATTCAATGCAAGTGGTCTTGATCCACATGCTGGGAATTGCTGGCTTCAATATGCAAAGCTTTGTCGTTCTGCTGGTCATTATGAGACAGCCAACCGAGCAATTTTGGAAGCCCATACTTTAGGCACACCAAATGTTCACATGGAGAAGGCTAAGCTCCTTTGGAGCACAAGACGATCTGATGGTGCCATCGCAGAACTGCAACAGTCTCTCCTCAATATGCCTGTAGATATTGTGGGTTCTGCAGCAATCTCATCAATTACTAGCCTCTCTCTGGTCCCTCTCAACCCACCGTCACTTTGTTTAACTCAAGTTTCAAATAAGAACCAAGATGTTGCCAAGACCCTCCTCCTATATTCCAGATGGATCCATTACACTGGACAGAAGCAGAAGGAAGATGTGATAAATCTTTATTCCAAGGTGAAGGAACTGCAACCCACATGGGAAAAAGTATACTTCTATATGGCAAAATATTTTGATGATGTGCTTGCTGATGCCAGAAAGCGGCAGGAAGAGAATCTTGAACCAGGAACTAGAATCACACCATCATCTTCTTTTGGTGCTAATATAAATACAAATACTGAGAGACCTTGGTGGTCTTACCTCCCTGATGTCATGTTAAATTATGCAAAAGGACTTCATAGGGGCCACAAGAATCTTTTTCAAGCTCTTCCAAGGTTGTTAACATTATGGTTTGATTTTGGGAGCAAATATCCTAGAGTTGATTCGTCATCCAATAAAGATTTGAGAAATGTCCATGGAAAGGTAGAAATGTCAGTGCCACAATGAATTTGATTCCTGATTTCACTGGTTTCTTTCTTTACTGTCTCGTTTATTCTTTTCTGATCCCTATTTTTTCAGGTCATGAGCATCATGAGAGGCTGCCTTAAGGATTTGCCAACATATCAATGGCTAACAGTCCTTTCACAGTTGGTCTCTAGAATTTGCCACCAAAATGATGAAATTGTCCGGTTAGTGAAACACATTATCACTTCTGTTCTCCGTGAATACCCACAGCAAGCTCTTTGGATGATGGCAGCAGTTTCGAAGTCTACAGTTTCTGCAAGACGTGAGGCAGCAGCTGAGATCATACAAGCTGCACACAAAGGGTCCCGTCAAGAAAATAGTAGTTTGTTTGTTCAATTCTGTAGCTTGATTGATCATCTAATCAAGCTGTGCTTCCATGGGGGACAGCAAAAGGCAAGGGCTCTCAACATCTCAACTGAATTCAGTGCTTTGAAACGGATGATGCCACTTGGAATCATAATGCCTACACAACAAGCACTTACTGTCGCCCTGCAAACATATGATACAAATCTGGCTGAACCACTTAAGATTGACATATTTTCAGCCACTGATCTTCCTACCATATCTGGAATAGCTGATGAGGCGGAGATCTTGTCTTCTCTTCAGCGACCTAAAAAAGTATTTCTTGCTACTATCATTATTAGTTTTCATTTTTATTAGTTTAGAGGTCTGGTTGTCATATACTTTTTATACCTTAATGGGTCCATCAAGGAGAGCTCTCTTTCTCTGCGTCAATATTTTAAAATGCGGAGGCATGACACAAGTCATTCCACTACTTGGAGGCCTGAGGCATAGTTCAGAATGTAAAAGCTGTAAGCCTCCTAATACCCCTAAACATAAGGAGGCTTACGCCTCCTTGTGGAGGGGGATGAGGATGGAGGGTGAGGAGGAAGAAGAGGAAGGAGGATCTCATCTCTCTCTCTCTCTCTTAATAAAGATCTTTCATATTAAGAAGAATGAAGATGTATAATACTTTCTTTCCCATTCTCTTTCCTTCCCTTCCCTTCCCTTTTCCTTCTTTCTTTTCTCTCTCTTTTTTTTTCTTTTCTTTTGTTTCTTTCTTTTTTCTTACCCTTCCTTTCATTCCTATTTTTCCTTTCTTTTGTCTTATTTTGTATGAGTGGGTGAGGAGACATAAGCCTCTTGCACCTGAGGGCGTTTTGGGGGTGCCTCACCTGGAGGTGTGCCTCTAGGCATATGCGGTATGCCTCCCACACCTTTTAGAACATTGCTCTGAATGTCTGTTTGCTTGGGTTGATGTATAACTAAATTGACCCATTCAGATGATTTTGCCCTTTCAGTCATACTTCTTAATTTCATTGTTTTTTTTTTTATTTTTAAGAACAAAAAAAAAATGAAGAAATATGTCAAATGTAGCTTCAATATTTTATTGAAGCCTTGGTGTATTTCAGCCAAACCGTTCAGCTTGAATTTTGATAGAACAAATAGAAAGATAAAAATTTTATATAAACATATTTATTTAAACCTTTTATAAAGGGTTTTTAAAAATTAGGATGAGAAGAAAATGGAATTTTGATTTTGTAACAAATGGTATAATGAAGTTATATAATATACATGTAGTAAAAATGTGCTGAAGCTTTCTTGAGATGTCTATCACACAAAATTTAAAGCAACTCTCTTTGTCAAAGTTCTGAAAAGCAAGACCATCACTACCAAGGTTTTATACAGATAGGAATGTAGAACTGATGGTACTAAGTCATGTCAGTTTTTTAGACCATTTTTATTTTTATTTCTTTTACCCTATTCTTTGATCTCCTTGGAGACCCTTATTGAATGGTTGGTTGTATCACCTATTAATCTTGGTAGATTGTTTTTATGGTCTATCAATTTGGTCCCAAGTTTCCTACGCATTAAAATGACTACTATTTTGGATTTTCAGGTGGTTTTTCTTGGTAGTGATGGTGTTGAACGTCCATTCCTCTGCAAACCAAAGGATGACCTTCGGAAAGATGCACGTATGATGGAATTCACTGCAATGATCAACCATCTATTATCTAAATACCCTGAAAGCCGTCGGAGGAAGCTCTACATACGCACCTTTGCAGTGATTCCACTAACAGAGGACTGTGGCATGGTAGAGTGGGTTCCCCACACCCGTGGGCTTAGACATATACTTCAGGACATCTATATAGCTTGTGGAAAATTTGATAGACAGAAGACAAATCCTCTGATTAAGCGAATATATGACCAGTGTCAGGGGAAAATCCCTGAAGATGAAATGCTGAAGACCAAGATTCTTCCCATGTTCCCTCCAGTCTTTCATAGATGGTTCTTAACCACATTTTCTGAGCCGGCTGCTTGGTTCAGGGCTCGGGTTGCTTATGCACACACGTCTGCTGTTTGGTCAATGGTTGGACATATAGTGGGACTTGGTGACAGGCATGGTGAGAATATCCTATTTGATTCCACAAGTGGTGATTGTGTTCATGTTGATTTCAGTTGCTTATTTGATAAGGGCCTGCAATTGGAGAAACCTGAGCTGGTACCATTCAGGCTAACGCAGGTAAATAGAAAAGCATATTTCCTGTGCCCATTCTGACTATAGAAGCATGAGTGATATGAGATTTTCATTAATATTATTTGATGGGGCATGCAGAATATGATTGACGGATTAGGTATTACGGGATACAAAGGGATTTTCTTGCGGGTTTGTGAAATCACACTTTCAGTACTAAGGACACACCGGGAGACTTTGATGAGTATCCTGGAAACTTTCATCCATGATCCTCTTGTAGAATGGACAAAGTCTCACAAGTCCAGCAGAGTAGAAGTCCAGAATCCCCATGCTCAGGTTTGAACCTTCATCCATGTGTTCTGGATTTAACCATACTTGGAAACATCATCTGGTCAATTTATGATATGTTTAGATTGACACTTAGGGGCTGTTCTTTTTTGAGATTTTGAGAGGGGGGAAAGTTGGTCAATGGGATTTTGGTTCCCATTGGCCAAGAACCCCATGTTCTTTTTTCAGATTTATGTGGGGACCAGGGAAAGCTTATTTTCCTGGGTACCATCCCCTAGGTGGGTAAATAACTTTTCCACCTAGAGGGAAAATTGCCAACACTTGAATGGGACAAATGCCCCTTTTAATAGTGGATTTTTATGGCTAAAATGGTCATTGCATTATTTACCTGGGAAATAAAAGAACATGGGTAAATGCACTTACCCGGGTAAATGTTTCCCAGAAAAAACTTACCCAGGTAATTGTATTTACCTGGGTAAATAACTTACTGAAAAGCGAACGAGGCCTTAGAAGACAAAATGGAATGGAAAGTGACTTGTTTAGGGTAAAAAAATTTGTCCCGATAAAGCTTCAGGGAGTTACTGCCTTGAATTAGGGTTGCCAACTCACTGAGTTGACAATGATAGTTCATGACTCGTACTTTTAGCATTTTTCGTTGCTTTTATGGAAAATGAAATAATGGTTAGCATTAGTTTGTATATTCTTCTTGGCAAGAATTGTTTTACATATATTTATTTCAACTGAATGAGATGGGAGTGCTAGAAGCAAATGCATGGAATGCACATTGATAACCCACATATATTGATTATATCATTCCATTCATATATGGTCATAATCCTTGTATTCCATTATCTGTGCTTAATGCACATTTTGTCAGCATTTCTGGATGGGATGTGTATCTACTCAATCTTTTTTTGGATCCTGTTTCCAACAGATTGAATTATAAGCAAAGCATTTATTGGGTTAATTAACTAGGAAGGTTGTGATGTTTGAACATTACAGAGGGCCATCAGCAACATTGAAGCACGGCTGCAGGGTGTTGTGGTTGGTGTTGGAGCAGCACCATCTTTGCCTCTAGCTGTAGAAGGCCAGGCTCAGCGCTTGATTGCTGAAGCAGTATCACACAAAAACCTTGGGAAGATGTATATATGGTGGATGCCCTGGTTTTAGGTCTTCATATACTAAGATATCCTGAATGTATCATCAGTGATTGGTATGTCGCATCATTCCATTGCCTTGGCATTTTCATGGCTGTGGTTGTGTTAGAAGAGCTTATGGTAGTCCATTTATGGAGGTGGCATTTTGGATTAACCATAGGATAGGTCTTCTCTTCTAATATGATGAACCAAAGCGTATATAATTTAAATATTGGTTGTTAGAAGCAACCTAACTAACTGATAATCCAAAAAAAAAGAAGCAACCTAACCAACTAATAATTCCAAAAAAGAAGGTTATCTTGTATGATAGAAGTCGAGGTGGAGTTTGCTGCCTACTTTAATACTAGTGTTGTGGATAGTTATTATGATCTAAAGCCAGTGAGCATTCAAATGTACATAGATATTGCTTTTGTGTTATTGAAACTTGACATGATCAATTTATCTAATCAGAAATTTAGTTTCCCTTTTTTTATCAGCAATTTTAGTTTCCTTTTAAATGCGTCTTTTTTATGTAATATTGCTATTTTCTTTTAATCAAATTTTAAACTGCACCATATCATTGAGTTATTGAACCTCCAATATTTGCTCATTTACCACAGTTTCTCTTCGATCTTGTAATTCCGAATCAGAAATTAGGTTTTCGAACACTCCTACCCAGTGATAGTCTGTTAACTGCCCCTCCGTTTTTTACCAGTCTTCCTCTTGTGCAAATCGTCAATATTTTGGTCAACAGGTTATCCTTTCGACTGGACATACTAGTTCACGGGCTACCCAATCGTATCAGGGGCTTCCCAATACGCCCCTACATGGGTGTTTCGGGTCAGACCATGGTTTCAGAGGGTAGCGGCCTTAAACTGACCCTCTGAATCAGATTGAACAAAAAAACTAAAAAAAAATGGACAAATGAGCCTTGATATATGGCCTATATTTTTTTTTATCAGTAACAGTGAAATTTTATTAATGATAAAAACACGATTACAACGGAATGGAGATAAAAAGTCTAAACTCCAGTTACCCAAGAACTTTCTGATCTTGTAGTGATTACAAAACAGCCAAGAATAATGTCTCTATTTACCCCTTTCCTAGCTAGACCGTTAGCCAATGCATTTTCACTTCTCTTAATCCAATCACATTGAATTTTCATGTCCTTGGTTAATCATTTATGTTTCCTCCTTTCATTATTGTATTTCCACATCATAGCACTGTTGTCTTCTGTTAGCCATTTCACCATCATTATAGAATCACCTTCTATAACCACCTTTTTGATATATGGCCTACATCGATATTTTGAGCATTGCTTGGATGGACTAGGGTCCAAAGTTAGTTCTCTTTTTTATTATTTATTTTTTGAGCAATAGAGTTTTGTTGATTGGGACTAGGGATGGCCAGGAGCGGAGCTTTTCACGAGTTATTCAAGCTCGATTTATGAGGCTCACAAGCTTAATTGAGCTTATATATATATAAAACGTTTGGCTCACAGTTGAGCTCAAGCTGAGCCAAGTTTGAACTTACACCTAATTAGGGCTGAAGATCATAATTCAATGTTAACCTGCAAAGCTGCAACGCCAAATCAACACTCAACTGCAATAAGGTCTTATCCCGTTCCCATCTATTTGTGATTGGCTACGTAAATCCTATGTTAGCATTTAACCTAATTGGTTACAATTAGACCTGGCAATTGGGTTGGGTGGGTCGGGTTTGGCTTGGGTCAAGACACTTCAGGTTGATTTCAGGTTGGGTTGCCAAATGCTAGACCCTAATCCTAAATTTTCAGGTTAGGGTTGACCCATGGGTCAATTCGGATCATCCTAAAAAATAATTAAAATTTATAAAATAAAGAATAAATATATGAAGAATGCCAAATTAAAGAAATTAATCTTAAAATTCCAAATATAAAATGAAAAAACTTGAGCATTTAACAATTCAAAGAGTAAAGACTAAATAGTAAAAATTAAAGAATGGAAACTTCTAACAATGCAAAAATAGTCCCAATTAGACCTAACAATTGGGTCAATGGGTTGATCCATGACCCAACCCAACCCAATCCAATTTTTTCCAAGTTGGGTTAGATTGGGTCATTCTCAAATTCAGGTAGTTCAATATGAGACCCTAACCTTATTTTTTCGAGTTGGGTTGGATCGGGTTCGTGGGTTGGGTCAACTTTTTGCTAAGTCTAATTACAATTGAAACTGAGACAATTCTTTCTTCACATGTAAGAAAAATATTATTTAATGGTAAATTAGTAATAAAAAGGGAAAATTCTCGATAGCTACTTTATACTTTAGGCGAAGTACCAATTTATTATCCAAATTTTAAAATGCGATAACCTAATACGCCTAACTTTCATTTTGTGACAATTTAGTACCTATCGTTATGTATATCACTTGACCTCACATGCAATTTACGACTTTTTAAAATGTCAAAATTACTCGTGAAAATAAAATACACTGTTCATCATTTGTTTCTCAAAAAATTAACAGAATCCAAAGAGCTTGCCGCTCTATTGTTGCGTATCGAATTTTTTATCTGCTCTATTGTTGCGTAGCAATATAAGTCTGCTAATGCTGCTTGGCGGCGTTTTTTCGCCTTCTCTTCGTTCTGGATAGGAGCACTAATGGACACGGGGAGGGAGCAGGCGAAGCGTGTCGTTCGTAATGGAAAGAAAGATATTTGCCTCTTTGTTGGACCACCAGCGCGAACACTGTGGTATCTGAAGGAAAAGAGAAGGAGTGCCGCCGCTGTTCAACGAAGGAGACGATGAACAGTCAGAAACCACGGGCGCAGGCGACCCCGACGAAACGAGAAGTGGCACCACTGTTCAACGAAGAGACGATGAACAGTGACGGTGAACATTTTAGAAACCATGGGCGCAGGCGACCCCGACGAAACGAGAAGGAGTGCCGCCGCTGTTCAATGAAAGAAACGATGAATAGTGGCGGTGAACAGTCCGGAAATCACAGGCGCACGACCCTGACGAAACAAGGAGTGCTGCCACTGTTCAACGAAGGAGACGATGAACAGTGGTGGTGAACAGTCAAGAAACTACGGGTGCAGACGACCCCGACGAAACGAGAAAGAGTGTCGCCGCTGTTCAACGAAGAAGACGATGAACAGTGGAGGTGAACAGTCCAGAAACCACAGGCGCAGGCGACCCCGACGAAACGAGAAGACGCCACGACGCCGGTGTTTTAAACCAAACAGCAGTTGATGTGATTTTTCCTTTTTTTTTTCTTTGAAACATTGGCGTAATCGCATTTTATTGAGGGGTGGTCTCTCTGAATTATCATCTAACGATCTTTTTGTTTTTTTTTGCATACTATTTTCCCTTGATTATCCAATAAATTTGAAGGCTTTTGTGGGTTAGGTCTACTTGGGAGTTGGGCTGAAATTAAGCCTAAAACGCAATTTTAAGGGCCGGATTTTGCATTTCGGCATGTTGAGAATCACACTGGGGAAAGGGAAATGCTTGACTTGAAGCCCTCCTACAACAGCAACTTAAAGTGTCTAAAACAGAAACAAAGCAAGAAAATGCAAAAAAAAACTAGCTTTGCTCTTCACAGTTCACACAATCGACGTACAACGGTCCAAGTTCTAGATTGTCTATCATGGAAGTTCCTTTAATAATTGAACAATTGATTTTTGTTTTTTTTTGTTTTTTTAGTAAATGAGCATTTTTCTTATTCTGTCATGGCTCAGAATATTCCCGATAATTCTGAACAGTGCATTTAGAGACGATGAACAGTGTCGTCTTCTCGTTTGAAGATGTTCATTGCCTTGAGGGGGAGTTGCTTACGGTGAAAGGCAATCTTATAGCCGGCCGTCGATTTTAATATCGTTGTGTACGTTTGATTGCTCATTTTGAAATTTGATAAAGAAAATTAGATAAAACTTAAGGGAAATTTGTGTCTTTTTTCATGACACTACCGTGAATTAAGTACTAGATTGTACCAAACTGAAAGTTCGGGTACTAAATTGTCGCATTTTAAAGTTCGGGTACTAAATTAGCATTCGGCCTAAAGTACAGGGTATCTAAGGGGAATTTTCCCTAATAAAAATGTTTCCAAGAGATTGAAATTCATAGGCAAGTAGCCTGGGGCGAAGCTAGGGGGGACCCAAGGGAGCCATGCCCCCCATGATCTAGAAATCTGCATACTGAATATATTTTTCTATGTAAGTTTCCTCCCTCCCCTCACTTCTCACCCAATGGTTGGCCCCCCATGGTCCATCCATAAGTTTTGGCCCCCCTCATAAAAAATTCCTAGCTCCGCCCCTACAAGTAGCCAATCATGTTGGTTTGGATCATACACAAGATCCCTCCACATGTAGGAAAATTATTTAAGAACCAGTAAGTATGCACGTGCGTTGGACATGACAATTTTTTTTTTTTTTTATTTATGATGAGGATAGTAAATGGTATGTTTCTAAAATTTTCTACATTTTTTTTATATTTTTATGTCTAAAAGTTTGATACATTTGTTTTTGCTTTTATTTAATGAATATATGATATTAAAGATGTGTCCAAATGTTTTCTATAAATTATTTTGTACTTTTTATGCTTTTGTGTGTTTTTATATATATATTTTTAATTTTTATTATTTAATTATAAATCAAGGGTTGACACATTTGGCCCAAAAGGTTAAATTCTTGACTTACCACCAAACAGAAAAACAACTCCCTTTTCGGGCCGGTTTTAAATTTGTATTTTATTTTCATCATCCATAAAATCAATTATTCTTTATCACACTTATTTTTCTTTAATATGGTTAATTAATATAAAATATTAGATATACCCAAATGTTTTTTCACATAATTTATATATTTTTTGTTTTCATCTTATTTTAATTTTTATTATTTAATTATGACATCATAGGTTGACACATTTGACCTAAAAGATTGAATTGTTGATCTACCATCAAATAGGAAAACAATTCCACTTGTGGGTTAGTTTTAAATTTTGTATTTCATTTCCATCGTTAAAAACAAGTTTTGTTTATTGTGTTTAATTTTTAATATGATTAATATAAAATATTAGAGATGTGTTCAAATGTTTTCTACAAAGTTTTTATATTTTTAATTTTTATTTAATTATGAGGTCATAGATAAAGGGTCGACACATGACCTGAAAGGCTAAACTATTGACCCACCACTCAAAAAATAATTCCATTTTTGGGTCATTTTAAATTTTATATTTTATATCCAACATCAATAAAATCAACTATCATTTATTACACTTATTTTTATTAATGTGATTAATTTAAATAGAATTTAAATTAATGAAAGTTAATTTAAAAATTAATAAATTTCTCGTAGAAAAATTAATTTTATTTATAAAACTAATTCTATTATAAATTAATTATATATATAATATTAGTAATTTAATGAGATTTTAAATTAATAAAAATTACTATAAATTATTATTATTAACAAATTTGAATTAATTTTTACAATTTTTGTAATTTTTAA